TTTGGGAAAAAGATGGCATGTATGGCAATGTATATACCTGGGGGATTCCCATAGAGTATCAGAAGGTATCATAGGTGAATCAAGGAATTTAATGTCATCCCTGTTGAGTTTGCTCATGAGTCAAATACTTGCTGGGTGATCTTGAAGGGAGATAACTTATTCAGTTTCTGTTTCCTTATTTTTAAAATGAGGATGATTCAAATTTAACGGATATTGAAAACTAACATTTATTGAATGCTTACAATGAACTACAAGTATTTTATTATTCCTAATTATTCTAAAATATAGCTATTCTTATGATCTCTATTTTACACATGAAGAAAAGAAGTTATAGATACACTAAGCAACCAGTAGACAGTAAATCTGAAATTTAAAATTAGGCAGTGCTGCAAACCACAGTGCCTCTAAAATGTTATGTTTCATTGTCTGATGATTTTTTCATTTTCTCCAACCAAGTATTGACACTGAGGCCAGGCAGGATTTGCAAAACAGGGAAGAATACCTGGACGGGCTTTTCCTTTCTCAAATCAACACTTAATACACCCCTTAAAATTGTCAGGCTTATACATTACTTACTAAGTACTGTTTCCTGTAACATTCAAAAGGAAAGGCCACTTTTTCCTCAGGATAAAGTTTCTCTAGTTAGGAAGCTAACCATACAGTTTATCTGCCATCATTTCCCTCAGGACACTAATTGATATCTGCTATTTAAAATTTTATGTCTAAAATCAAGGTCAAAGAAGAAAGCATGTATACTTCATGGAGAATTTTTTGCAGAGGCCAGGTATGATACAGGAATTAAAACAAGCATTTGAACAGATTTGTATCCTTCATATATTTCCTCCTTCCTCTTATCATATATATTTTATTTGGGTTGAAACTGCAAAAGTATTCAATAATTTACCTAAAGTACATCCATACAAACACTAAGTAATCCTCTTAGTTATTGGCAAGTGGTGATAACACCTTGTGCTCATGAGTAAATGACCAGGAAACTAATAGATGAGGAGCAAGAGAATAATACAGTTTATTCAGTGAAACAGGTTTTATGTACTTCTATTTTGTTTCCCTACCAGGAGAAATTGAAGAATAATCTGAAGTATGGGGAGCTTATTAATAATGATTGAGAGACCTTTGATTTTCACTCATAGTCTTAATATGATTAGCCCTAACTGATTCACGAAATGGACTTCAAAAAATAAACTGGCATATGAGAATTAGAAGAGAAGAGCAGGGAATGGTGGGAAGTCAGGACCATGGGCTGCCTGCCAAGGTCAAATCACTTTCATATAGCCAACGAATGGAGATTTCTGGGGAAACATGAGCATGTGGCCTGATCATTTTATGTCTCTCCCTTGAGGTCTTCCTCATGAGGCCAGGTGATATGTTGTTGCTTCTGCTTCACCACACCAGATAAAACGAGAATTGAATTCCAGCCAAGGATGATGCATTTTGTATTTTCTCATCTTGGACACTATTATTCTCGTCTACTCTTTTGCTCAGGATTGCCTTTTAAAAGTTTTCACTAAAGCCAACCACTCTGCTTTTCCTTGGGGACATTATAGAAGAGGAAAAATAATTGAATGGGATGCTTTTTATTTCAGACACAGCTGGACAAGTGAGGGCAAAGTGGGAGTGACGTAAGGAGTCAAAAACTGATGTCTGCATTTGAAACTACGTGTTGGCCCTGTTCCTTCAGAAAGGAGAGCCCTCCCTGTCTACAACTTGATCCCAGGGTTCATCAAAAGAAGAACCTTTTCTGTTGCTTACACTGGCTTTGAGAGTCTCCAGCCCTCTCCCCACACCCTCTCTTTCATTGCTAGAGACCAATCTTTTATTTTGTGGTAACCCTCTCATAGTTGCCCTACAACTTCTCACTGGTCCTACTCTGCTTATGGATATTGTAGCCTCAATGATTCCTTCCCTCCCTGTTGCTTTTTAAATTTGGAAATGTAAAAACACAGCATTTTTAAGAATTTACTGGTTTGCAAAGGAATAACACCTTCACCTGAGAGAAAACACAGAGGATCTGTAGCTAATTCTTTGCAGAGAAAAATGCCTCAGTTCTCAATTTCTTGTGGTTATTTCACCATTGATAATAGTTCTCCTAACTTTTTTTTTTTTAATGCCATACAAGGGATTGAACCCAAGGCCTCTCATGTTAGGCAAGCAAGCGCTCTACCACCATGCTACATCCTGAGCCCTCTCTCTGTTTGTCAATCCTGGCTGTTTCTTGTCTTAAGCATGCTCTTTTGCCTTGTAGTTGTAGAATCAAAACTTACTTGTAAAACAAATGAACTACATCATAACTTTTAATATGGTTGCTGTGATTCAAGTATTCTGCAGAGGGGTAGAAAGAAACCCAGAAAACAGTAGATGGATTCAGTAGAGTCTTAAAAAAGCAAGACCCAGTAGAGAAATAATAGAATATTAGCCTAGATCAGGCCAGACATGTACTTAGAAGAACACAAGCATTTACCAGTAATGATTGCATGTGTACTTATTGTTATTAATTCTGTTATGCTTTAGATCTTTCTAGGACATAAATTCCTCTTAATTTACACTTGTGTCTTTCAAAGGGGGAAAAAATAGCAAAAACACTCTCACCACCACCCAAACTAACAAAAATAAAACAAGCAATGCAGTGATATATCTCAGAAGATGTGCTTATCACACTGCAGGAAGGTCTGCCAAATGCAATTATTCAATGGAAGTACATTTGAAGATTATTTTTTCTTTTGCATCTTCTCTTTAGTATTGTCATAAATTCAATCTCCTTCATTGGCCTTGCCTGCTACCAACATTCTATCTTCACATTTGGATGAGTCTGAACTTATCAAGGTGATATATGGTGTGGTTTTTAAATGGGAATTTTAACATGTTGTTCTTCAAACCTGGTACCAATTAACAGTGACTCCTGCCTCCTTCATAAAGGAGCAGGGTTTGCTGCATATCTGGCCATACAGCTCCTGGTGGGCTTCCTAGCCTGCACAAGGCTGTGGCAATATCCTCATGCTTTATTATCTGCAGCCCACAGGTACAAAGACAGCAGGAATATACTTGCTGTGTGATTTTCCTGATACCCCATAAGCTCTGAACACTTGGGTTGGCCTCATACACTTTAAATCACTTTAAGACTGGAAAAATTTCAAACATATTTCTTTATTTTATTTCCCATGCACAAATGGAATAATGCATTCCAAGCAAAGAAACTTTAAAAAGCAAAACAAAACAAACGCAGTACTTCTTCTTAAACACTACCATTCCCCAAGGGGTACCATTTCATATTAAATAAAGACACAAAGATTGAGGGTCCTTAAAATCTCCCACATGTGTTAAAAATAAAATCTCCAGAAAAATGAGTGCACACAATAATGTATACACAGGACATAACTCACCATCATGAGAAAATGAAAAAGTTCTGTGTTACAGGTAATTCTCAATAGTATGCTGTACCAATATCAGGGCAGCTTCCAGAGAATAGAATTTTATTTTTTTCATCTCAAATGTGTTTTAGTCCTAAGTATTCTCTAACTTTCTACCATTATAAAACCAGAATCATGTTTCCTGTTTTCAAGTACAATAAATACATATTTAAGAAACATCATGAGACTATCTTTCTGCATAAACAATCATTTTTGATAGCATATGAGGATTCTGAGATATCCATATGTCAGAGGTCTTTGTTCTTAGCCTATGAGGAAAATTGCCAAATACACTTCAGAGTGCCAGGCTTAAAAAGATGCTGTGGAGAGCCTGCCTGATTATCTGAATTCCAATTTGGCTCAAAATGAAAGGTAAAGACATTGCCTAGGTGCCTTTCAATATTGCTGCTCTAGTTGCAGTAAACCTCTCCTAATAGTTTATTACACTGAGAAAACAAAGCATATTCTAAAGAAAGAATCCATGGCCCTCATCTCTAATACACCGGTCTCTTTTGAATTTTTTCTTTCTTTTTTTTATCAATTTCATAGATTTCTAACAACCACAGGATAGTTTTTTAAATCTGATTTTTATGCCAGTGGCACAATTTCCTCCTCTGTAAGTAGGACAGATTCATCCCATAAGCGACAATGGATGCTTCCCTGCTTAACTCAAGCATGACAGATTAAGCTTCAAACAGACCAGTAAATGCCACCTTCCCACTTAAGGAGACTGTTCAGAGGAGGCTTTGGGGCCTGCACTGCATTTGTTCCTTAACTGCCAGCTGATGTGCTGTTGCTGTCTGAGGCGGCCAAGCAGCCCTGAATGAGAAAGCTGTGGCCTGAGGTGTCATAGCTTATTGTGAGTGCTTCCAGGCAAATTCTTGGCATTTAAATTGTGCCCACCTCAGGAGGGTTGCCTTGTATAATGCCTGGCATAAAGCTGCCACTTTGCAATGTTTGTTTAATATCAAAGAGAATGGGAGAGAGAAACCTGAGCTTCTAGATGACTCTCAGACTTTGCCAGATGAAATGCTGATATTTTCTGACAAAGAGGTTTAGGTGACACTGGTGGGAAGAATAGCTAAGAAATAAATTAAAAGTGGTAAAATTAGCAAATGAAAAAACTAATAAAACACTAGGAAATGGAAAATGTAGTAGCCAAAATGGGTGATGTGTGATATAAGAAAATGCTTTTTAAGAGGAAAATGGCACTTGCAATATGTTTTTGAATGCATGTTGGAGACAAGTGTGTTACATTAAAAAGGGGGGAGGGGGGGTTATCACTACTTCCAGAATTATAATATGGAGATAACCATTATGTGCATCACTGAGAAGAGCATCTTAAAATCCTATTCAATTTGTCCCTTAGTATTGCATATATAAGAGAAACCTGAATTTTCTTTTTTAACTTTTTGCACAAAAATAAAATCTAGAACATTCCTGTTGGTGTCAGAAACAAACTGAATCAGATAATGCAAAAGCATGAATATACTGTTCTCACCATTATGTACTTCATGGCTATTTTACTTATTTACAAGCCCATGCATATATTTATAATTTATCCCTTTTCCTCAGGTGCAAAGAAGGCTACCAAGGAGTCCGTTGTGATCAATTTCTGCCGAAAACTGACTCCATCTTATCGGATCCAAGTAGGTCAAGCATTTTTCTTTTCTCTAATGTATTATATAGTTAGCCCTTCCTTGAAGCAATGGTTGTTAACTCTGCTAAAGCTTGTATTTCACCCTGTGTCTCTGAAAGCTGCCAAGCACAGAGGATGGTAACAAATGTCAATATTCAAAGCATGCTTCCAGCTCACTTGGTCAAGGTCTTCCCTAGTGGGGTTTTTCCTCTGGATTCGACACCTCCTCTAATCTCAGATGGGAACTAACTCCCAGCAGACCCTGCTACCTTAGCTCTCAGCTCTCACTCCAAATCACCCAGTACCAAAGTTAGGAATACAGAATAATGAACACAGTTGTTCACCCAAAAGATGTACCTTACTGATTAAGAAGTTGTACCTCAAAAAGTGCATAAGTTTCAAACAAACTTTTAAAACACTGTTCTGAGCAAAACCTATTTGCATATAAGTAGTTTCTTTGCTAACAATGAATTACATTTTACTTCATTCACAAAAGAAGACAATTTTCAATTAAGAAATATTATTAATCATTAGTTTCTGTTTCTGTATGGATTTAGAAATAGCTTCCTATATTAAAATGCCCAGTTCTGGTTAAATGTCAAATCTTTATTTTATCTATAAGTAGTTTTCTTCTCTTTCAATGGCTGCTACAATTGAATCATTACTAAAGAAAGGGGATTTTTATTGAACAACAATTTAGTTCAGTGAGGATAATGAGAGACATTTCCAAATCCTAGAGGCAATGTTATGTTTTCGGAATATTGAACTTGTATAACACGGATTTTCGCAAAATATTTTGTATTAACTATAGACAGAGGTTGTCCTGCTGGTTTGAATGGATTTTGTGGCATAACGAACATGTCTAGCTATCTTTCAACATCTTTTCAAAATGTATTTTCATCCTCCACTCCTGATTTCCAGCTACATGTCCTGAGGTGAATGCAAATTTCCTAAAATAAAAGAAGTTTTTGTTTACTTTGATTTAAATGAGTTTTATTCTGACAAGGTAGCCTGTGGATGCAGTAATTAGCACTCTTATTTGCAAATTTAACACTCCTTGAGAAAGTGAAGGTTGTTGAAAAGCCAGCTACCAGCACAGCCATGGATACCTATGTTCTCCGAAATGTAGGGCAGTGTTCTCTAGGAATTATCGAAATACCATGGTCTTATGGGACTATGTTGCCTCTTATTTATCATATAATTGTGGCTGCTTATTAAGGTAGTTTCTGAATAGCTATTTTTGGTTGTGGTTATACACATATTCGGAATATTAGAATCGCAAGCAAAAATGGGTGTGGTGATTCTTCCTTTGGTTTTTTTTTCTTTTTTTAGAAAGAAATTCCCTAATATATCCAGTTTCCTATTGGTTTTTCATTCTCATAGTTTCCTTTCCCTTTTCTCTTTTCCATATTTCCCTTTCTTCACTATTTTCTTTCCTTTCTCCTAACCTCCCTCCTCCTTTCTGCCTCCTTTTTCTCTCTTTCGTATGTAACTGAGAAATGTCTATAGAGTACAGAATACTGGGCTTTGCATATGATACAAAGTAGGTAAAATAACTTCCTTAAATTTTGAATCAAATTTTGCTATCCAATTAGATATCATAATCCATCATAGCAAAAAAGCAAAGGTGAAACCTTCAACTAATGACTGTACTCCTCAGAGAAGGATGATCCTCCTGTCACAGTGACTATTTTTGCATGCATATCATTTATTTATTTAGTTAGTTCTGTGATATTTCTAATGGTGAAAACATTGGATATTCTAAATAGCAAAACCCAAAAACTTTAAGTAAAATATCATATCACATATATTGCCTGCTGTATTAATCTGACATTAAAATGACAGCTATATGAAATATTTCTATTAACTGAAACCACAAAATAGAAAATAATTTTTATAAAATCACAAAAGGAAGATCCTATTTTCATTCAAAGGTGAAACAGAAATATGCTGAAACGCTCCAAGGGGACTTTTAGTATTTGGGTTACAGAATAATATGAAGTTATTTTTCTTTTACTCCTGTTTTCTGAAAAAAGGCTTATGATGATGTGAGGCAAAGTGCCAGGATTCCTTAAAATAGAAAAGCAAATAAGCATTAAGAATCCATGGATGAGTCCTGGAGACACAGTTTAAATGGGAAAAAATATTATATCTTCCATTCATGCATGTATACATTGATTTATTTTTGAAATCATTAATTTATTTTATCAATGTTTTCTGAGCAGCTACTAATCAATAAGAGTCTGTTAATTCAAAATTATGCAAATATGACTTAGTCTCTGAGTTCCCCATAGACTAGTGACACAACACACAGGTGTGAATCTGGTGTAACATTCACCCCAATGTGACCTTGGCAGATTTATTTGGCTCCCAAGCCTCAGGCAGTGGCAATAATGGTATCTCTAAGCATCTGTCCCAGAGATCCACAGGGTCATTTCCAGATGAATCTTATCTCACCCATAATTACTATGTGTGTTTAAATTTCCTGGGTACCAGATACTGTGCCAAAGGGTTTTTACCTGGATTATTTCAGTAAATCTTCCGAGTCACAGGCCAGCAGGGCATATAGTACAAATTGCCCACATTTTGTAGATGAGGAAATTAAACCTCAGAGATGCTAAATAAACTTGCTTAAGGTCACACAACTAGTTAATAAAATACTGGAGTCTTACTTCTCTTCCAAATGACTCCAGGGCGGCCTGTGCTCCCAAATGCAGTGTTCTTTCCTCCTCTCCCAGAACCCTCCCTCCCTCCAGTTATTTTCAACAGGACATTTATCACTCTAAATTTCATTGACTGAAACTCAATGACCTGCGGCAAACATCATTCTAAGGAACAATATTTGCACAATTTTCATATCTTAATGTAGCAACTTGAGCTTCCATAGAGATTTAAATCCCTAATGAAATTTTCTTGTCAAAATTCTTGCTGAAGGATTGTTTAATTTGCTGCTCGTGATATATTTGGAATGACTTTATGCTCAGGAAATATGCTTCCCTTTAATACTTCCATTTTTTCTCCTCTGTTCCCTTTCTTCCCTCCATCTCTTCTTCCTTTTTCTCCTCTCTCAGTATTTGCCCAATGCCTGCTTCAAGTCACTGAAATCCCAATAACAAGGGTTTGGATGCTTGTGCTCTTCTTTCTCCCTCAGACACTGTAAAGTGGGTCATAAACAAGTACCTTGATGATAAATCTTTAAAATATAATATTACATATATTAAAAGATAATATAATATTACATATATTACAAGATAATATAATATTACATATATTACAATCTCATATTACATATATTTGGGAAATGATGCAAAGGAGTTACTCTAAGAGGTTCAATGGCTGCTATCACAAGTGTCTTATAATCCCTAGCTGGGTCTTGACATGTGCTATTCCAAAAAATCACCCATTTTACCTCTCCCCAGAGAACCTGTAAGATTATTCCAGTCTATTAAACATATACACAACAATCAAACTTTATAAGTTAGATACTTTTTTTGAAAAGTATATAACTTAAAGTTTTTTTTTTTTTTCAAAAAAAGTATCTAATGCATATAACTGTCAGCTCAATCAGAACTTCCAGTGGATTCAATGAATTGCAACTCAACATTCAGATGACACCTTTGACTAATAAGTAGGGATTCTTGTGAAAGGTAGGAAAGTAACAAAGCAGAATGTACTCTTGTCAAGGCCAAGAGGATGTGAACTTCTGTGTAGGAGTCAGCACCAACTGATGAAGCAATCCTGAAGGGCATATTTTACCCTGCCTCCTGCAACTTCTGTACCTTCCCATGAATAGCTGCATTCAGATTCTAAGAAGTCCTCAATCTTCTTTTTCTTTATAATGTAATTGTTGCTCCCCACGAAACTGTGATCAACCTATTGACTCCTGCCCCTGTTTATCTTCCTGTTCACCTATACCCATTCAGGTCAGGTAACCTCCACCACCTTGACATGCAGCTAGACAGGAGCAGAGAGCAGTGGGCTAGCTACAGATTCAGGCATGTTTGTTTCTTTCATGTGTGCATGCCACTCTGAGTTCTCCTTGAGATCCTAACCAGTGAGATCCTGAGAGGGGCTCCCAGAACTAGATTCAGAGCAGAATCAGAGGCTGGGGTGGGATAGAGAAGAAGTCCTTCAGAAGTGAGTGTTCTCCTCCACCACACACATCTAGAGGCAGCCATTCTAGATCTTCCTGTGCCTTTCCCTCTCCATCAGCATGCTATGCCCCATGGCTGTGGCAGCAGGCAATAGGTCTGTGTGTCCAAGCTTTAGCATGCAGCTGGTATAGCTTAAACTCTTGGAGTCATCTATTCTCCATGGAAGAATAGAGACACCTCCCAGCATCAGTCCCTATATGCTGATATGCTTTCATCTGCAGTTGCTTTGGCTCTTAGAATCCAGGTTCTACTCTCAGAACACCATAGAAGATGTGAGAATCCTGGTGTGAATGTGGTTCGGAAGAAGACTAATGAAAAAAATGGTCTCAGGTTAGATTTCCATCATCACCCCAAACTCAAATTGTGTGCCTCAACTTCCTAGTAAATAATCACTTCAGGAGTCCAAAATTAGACCTGCCATAGCCTGTGAGTCTAGTCCAAGAGAGAGCACAGTTAACAGGGCTCCTATTCTGAATGGTCTGCAGGGACAACTAACTCAGGCCAGAGCTCCATCTCTTTTCCCATGTACCAGGACACCCACAGGATTGTCAACCACCAGTGTCTAAACCCTCAGTTTCAGGGCATAGGGGGTGCTCCTTTGTCATATCTAGCACAGTGAGGGGAGAGAATCTGAGAACATCTTGGAAAAGCCAGTGTGGGAACAGGGAGGGCTGGCTGGGTGTTTACTACATAGACACAGGAGGTGTTCCTGGAAGGGCTTTAACAGGAAACTTCCTCCATAAAAGATCCTTACTATCCTCTTGCCCCTCTCAGTATTTGTAACTCAGAAACATATGTTCTGTTTGTCAGCAATGAAATAGGGTATAATAAATGTGCTCTGAATTGGGGGTCAGAG